GGGGGGGGGGACCGTCCTGTGCATCCCTGGACTCCATCCACAGATACCGGTAGCATTCCTCGGCTGTGACACCGAAAACATCCCGACCTTGCGGGGCATCCCCTGGGGACAGCTGCCCCCCACCCCCTTGACAGCCTGCGGGCTAAGTAAGGGTTTGTGCAAAGAAAAAGCCAATAAACCTACAAAGGCACATTTAGTGACCCAGAGCTGGGTCCTTGAGGGACAGTGCGGGGTCTCAGCCAGGAGCACAGGCTGGAGACTTGGGTTCACTACCACGTCTGTGACCTCGGGTGTGCTCGGGAGTGGGGTTCTTTACCCAAAATGAGGAGACGAGAGGGATCCATCCCACGCTTGGGCGGAGTAAATGCCAAGAGGCCTCCAAAGGCTCGGAGCAGCAAGCCCTCGGTCCACACCGACCTCGGAACCGCTACTTTATTAACAGATCCGCCGGGATTCTGGTCTCGGCTCCCTCAGTTGGCTCCCTCAGAATGTTCGCTCTGGATGTGCCAGAGAAATACGCTAGCATCCTTGGTGGTCCCCTTCCGCCATGCTCAGGCCAGGTGGATGAAACCCAGGGATCTTGATGTGGTCCTTTATACGGAGCACAGATTGCCTCAAACAGCCTCCCTGTGGCCACGTGAGCCGTCCCCAAGGCTGGGCGCAGGATGCCCGGATGACCCTCGGGGCCAATGCCTGCGATCGCCTGTCAGCCTTTGTAGACCTCACCTGCTGCCCTTCCCCAGCCGCACACAAGCACGGTCGTGCACACTCACCTACTCACATGCACGTTTACACTCGTGCATACTCACATGCACCCTCGCACCCATGCACACTCACACTCGCACACACTCGTGCAAATCTCATACTCATGCATGCTCACACTCATGCACACTCCCACACAATCACAGGCAGAGGACCCTGCTTCGGCCACACCCAGACGCCTGTGGTTGTCCCCTCTGGCCACACTGTTTCGTAGCTGTGAACCTGTGCTCCTGCTGCTTCCTCCTCTTGGGGGGACAGGGGCTCCTCTCCTTGTCCCCCCGGCAGTCTCCCGTCCCTCCTTCCAGACAGCATCAAACCCAGGGACTGGCTCATTTGAGGGTCTCAGTAACTGCCTTCTGGAAGAGAGAAAAACTTAAGCATTGTCTACGATGGGACAGTCCCCCTCCC